TTTCAAATTTGAAACAATAATTGAATCGTTGGGTCAGGAAATTGATACTGAATCGAATCGCCATGATGGGTTTGATTTACACCCCTAGAGCCAAGTAACAACAAGAAACCAGCAAACAGTAACTGAACAGGAGGTATGGCTGTATGTGTAAGTATGTATAAAAAATATATCTGCAAAATTTCTTATATTCAACTACAAAAAATACTTAACAAACAAATTTAAGCAAATTGTGCAAAAATAGCAATTAGAAAATAAAAATCCTATCAGATTTATAGTGCCCACACTGCAGAGATATTAGAATCTGTCCTTAAATTACAGTCAAACCCATTTACACAGTAACAGATAAAAGACTTTAGATAAATCAAACATTACACGCCACATATCTGACTCAGTAACCATTTCAAATCAGCGGTACAAAATATTTGCTGGCATAAATCAGCAATATGTTTGAAGGAATAAGAAAAGGTAAAGGTGTAAGCTGACCCACAGCCTTTACAGTAGGGGTGTCCAAGTAACAGCTTGTAGTTATCTGTAGACCTCGGAGCGATTTTTTGCAGTTCACGGCCATATTGTAAGAATTTTACATTTTTGTCAAATGATTGAAACTCTTAATTGTTTTTGAATTATAAGCTGTAACCTGAATATTTTAGGCTGACTGAGTCTGTACAGAGAAATGATGGTTATAGAGGGGCCTGTAACAGGTTATAGAAGGAAGGACCTGTGACAACGCTCCTTTGTGCACCCAGGATGCAACAGACCGTCACTGAACACACTCTTCAGATTTGCACCACTTTCCTGCAATTTCATGGCAAAATGAAACACCTCAACTAAATAATAGTTGTTTCCTGAAGAGTGACTCATACTGTATCTTGTTTTTTTATGAAAAACCCTGAAATATTTCCCTGAAAAAAGTAAAAGGATGCCATTCTATGACTGTTGTTGACGCTTTACGGATCCCTTGTGTATTAAAATAAGAATACTCGGTTCATTTAATTTAGTATGTGTCATCAGTTTTGCTGTCGAGTTGGAAGACAAGATAACATTCATGGAATGAATAGTTTTGGCATTTAGCACATCTTTTGCCTGTTTTCAACGTAAAAATTTTGGCCGCCTGTAAAAATATTTGACACGGCTGCCTTAGAAGAAAGTAATTCACAAAAATAGCTCCGCTGGTCTATTTTAAGTGATAAAATACATCTATTTTTAGAGAGGAGCCCTGACTGCCCTCTAACATTACCTTGCAAAGAGAAAATCATCTTTTGGTTTATTGACAGAGCATCATTCTACAGTTTGTTTTTTTTATGCTGGTGTACTTTTCGTCACAAAGCATAATAGGCATCCACCTTCTTCCAGGGTGAGTCAAGGTAAAGGAAACACTGAGGCTGTTTATGGAAGTTTATGGTTGCTTAGAAAAAAAGCATTTTTTTAAGAAGGTATATGCAAACATTTGTATCTAGTGTGGCAATATGTTCAATATATGCATAAGAGTGATAAAAAATGGCAAGGTTTGAAAAAGCTCAGGAATATTATCTGCTTTGTTTTTGCCTACACAGAAAAAAAATGTGGCTGTAGTTTTCATTAGAAACACCAGAGGTCATTGTAGAATCAGATGAGCATGTTTCTCCTTTATTTTACTTTAAAAATAAATCTAAATGCTACCCTAGTAGTCACTCTGCCTTTTCTGACCTACTATAAACATATCTAGAAAGCATTGGAGTGCATTTTTTTCCTTAAAGCTGTTCAGATATATTTTCAAAAATGTCCTCCACTGACCCCAAAAATAGCAATGCAACAAACAGGGGAACCCTAAAATGGATACAGCTGTACTTAAATATGTAAATGACATATGTATAAATCATAAATATTATATGTATATATATAATATTTAAGATTTATACATATATGATTTATATATATATATATATCTGTAGCTGCTTTCAGATGGAGGCCTGCTATGCAATCCAAGTGTTCTTGGATTCTTTCCTTTATATTTCCTTTTCTTTTGCTTATTTCTAATGTAAATCCCTTTAAATTCACTTCTCTACCTACATGCTGCATTTTAATCATTGTTGTTTCATGCATTTTATTTGTATAATTAGCTTCCAGCTAATAATATAAATATAAACGCTTCTGATCCAAGGCATTATTTCAGTGAAGTCGGCATCATGCTGCTGTTTTCTCTCCCAGCTGACCGTCAGGTGAGCCGAAGGAGCTCAAATCGAGTGTGGGTGTTTGTGTTTCTTGGTGTTATCAGCTGAAAGCATGTCCCTGCTTTTCTGCTGGCTGGCTTCCTGTATCAGTGGGAAGTTAGACTGCAAAAGCACAGCTATGCTTTGTCTGCGGAGCTCCTACGTGACGGAGCAGAACAGAGGCTCCACCAACAGCAACACAGATGGCCCTGGCATTTCATTGATCATTAGGGATGGTTCACTGTGTACTTTCTTTGTTGTTGGGCTTTAATCTGTTTTATACAATGCTGTGATAGGAGCTTGTTAAAACAATGTTTCATTGTGCAGGTCAAGGCAGCTTTAATGACCTGACTCAGCGACACCCTTCCTCTAATAAAATTCAAATTAAGCTTCAGTAGGTGATCTGCAGCCAGTAGATGACCTGAAAAGTAATCAGAGAAAATTATAGGAGACTAAGGAATACCTCATTTCATCAATGGAGCCTCTTTAATCAAACTATCAATCTTTTTTCAACCCCCCCATATATATATATATATATATATATATATACACACACATACATAAACATCTTACTAGCACCCCTTGTGAACCCAGCTGGGATAAAGTGTAATGGAAAATGGATGATGGACATGCATAGTTAGCAAGTGCAAGGATACATGTAAGTTATTGCTCAGCGTTTAATGGCTTGTAGGGTTTAGAGTGAACACTGTTTGTGCAAAGATAACAAAACTATTTTTTTTTATTATCATTTAAAATGATTGCAGTACAGATGAAAATTTTAGAAGATTTTAAAATCTATATTTCAAATATAAAATATTGAAAATAAATATATTCTAAATATATATATATATATATATATATATATATATA